CTGGTGGAGAAGGGGAAATGATACACCAGAAGCACAAGAGGATGTGATTATTCGAGAAGTGTAACAAAATCCTGAAGGATAGTTGTAGATGCTTATACTGCTAAAAATCCCTTCCATTTACCATCACTGTGAATGTGAAACAAAGAAGCACACTATGGTCTCTAAGACTCAAGCCTCACCACAACCCAGAGTGCAGCATATCAAGGCCATCCTCACCCACTACAGCCAAGTGGCCAACCCATAAACAGGAATATAATTGCGAGGTAAGTCACATGCATGTTGAAGTAGGGACTATGATTGATATCTAAACATATAAACTGTACTATAACTGGGACAAGTATTCTTCAAAATCAGATATTGATTTCAACATGATGTCTTATAAATCATATTTCCAGGTTCTCAGGCGTGATCTTTTACAAGCATTACAGAGGAGGAGGTTAAGTCAGAAATCTTCCACCAGAATAATGCTCCAGTGCACCCATCAGAAGCTGTAGGGGATCTCCTTGTCATTATAGTTTGAAGTTCTTCCCCCCAACCCATACTCCCCTGGAGGATGGAAAACACTTAGTTCTTTTGATAAACCCAAAACATAAAAAAGGATAAAAATGGGCTGTTATTAATTACAAAGCCATAAATGGTAATCTTCCAGATGTACCCTCTGATTGTGATGTTGGAAAAATGTTGCTGCACAACAATGCAAAGGTTTTATTTTAATTGTTTGTTACACTGTTGACAGTCGGGAAAGATGGAAGGCTAACTAAAACAAAGATGTCTGATAGGACACTGTATAACAATGGGAGAAAATGTTTGCTAGAAAGAATTAACTGCTTTCATGTCGCATCATGTCACATAATTCATACCATTGTAGTCGATCTTGTTAATTTATGCTTTTTGGAAGAATTCAATGCACATATATTATTAGTTTTAAAACAATCCTTAACACAAAATTGAAAAAATTCAAACAACTCCAGAGTGTCAAAGAAAAGGTAACTACCCTTCTATCAAAAACCAGGCCCAGCCTGACAAGGGACTACACAACCTTTTCTATCGTTATATTTTATTTTGTTACCTGTTTTGATATTGGAGCAAACCAATCTATTAATCTACTCTAATCTAATCTACTAATCTGAGCAATCAATGATGAAGGTCAGTTTATGATAATGAATACATTGCACATACAGTAAAACAAAAGATTTTCATTGAGGTAAGCTAATTCTGGTGGGGAAGGGAAAATGATACAAGAGAAAGCACAAAATTGAAAAAATAAGAAGAACTATCCTTCTTTTAAAAGCCTGGCCCAGCCTGACAAGGCGACTTACATGACATTTTCTATCCTATGTTTTATTCTGTTACTGGTTTTGATATCGGAGAAAACCAACCTACTCTTATCTAATCTGAGCAATCAATGATGAAGGTCCGCTTATGATAATAAATACATGTACATACAGTAAAACAATAGATTTTCATTGAGGTAAGCGAATTCTGGTGGTGAAGGGGAGATGATACAACAGAAAGCACAAGATGACCCATGTGTCACACACATGCTAAAGTAGGGACTATGATTGATATCTAAACATATAAACTGTTCTGTAACTGGGACAAGTATTTTTCAAAATCAGATATTGATTTCAACATAATGTCTTATAAATCATATTTCCAGGTTTTCAGGCGTGATCTTTTACAAGCATTACAGATGAGGAGGTTAAGTCAGAAATCTTCCACCAAAATAATGCTCAAGCACAAGCATCGGAAGCTGTTCTTCCCCACAACCCATACTCCCCTGGAGGATGGAAAACACTTAGTTGTTTTGATAAACTCTAAACATAAAAAAGATAAAAATGGGATTTTATTACATAGCCCTAAATGGTAATCTTTGGGAAGTACCCTCTGATTTTGATGTTGGAAAAAATGTTGCACAACAATGCAAAGGTTTTATTTTAATTGTTTGTTACACTGTTGGCAGTCGGGAAATATGGAAGGCTAACTAAATCTAAATAAAACAAAGATGTCTGATGGGACACTGTATATCAAGGGAGAAAATGTTTGCTAGAAAGAATTAACTGCTTTCATGTCGCATCATGTCACATAATTCATACCATTGTAGTCGATCTCGTTAATTTATGCTTTTTGGAAGAATTCAATGCACATATATTAGTCTTAAAAATATTCCTTATCACAAAATTGAAAAAATAAGAAGAACTATCCGTCTTTAAAAAGCGAGGCCCAGCCTTATAAGGGACTACAAAACCTTTTCTATCCTTATGTTTTATTTTGTTACTAGTTTTGATATTGGAGAAAACCAATCTATTACTCTACTCTAATCTAATCTAATCTACTAATCTGAGCAATCAATGATGAAGATCAGTTTATGATAATGAATACATTGCACATACAGTAAAACAATAGATTTTCATTGAGGTAAGCGAATTTCTGGTGGGGAAGGGGAAATGATACAACAGAAAGCACAAGAGGACCCATGTGATTATTGAGAAGTGTAACAAAATCCTGAAGAAAAGTTGTAGATGCTTTTACTGTTAAAATCCCTTCCATTTACCATCACTGTAAATGTGAAACAAAGAAGCACACTATGGCCTCGAAGACTCTAGCTTCACCACAACCCAGAGTGCAGCATATCAAGGCCATCCTCACCCACTCTACCACGTGACCAACCCATAAACAGGAATATTATTGCAAGGTAAGTCACATGCATGCTAAAGTAGGGACTATGATTGATATCTAAACATATAAACTATACTGTAACTGGGACAAGTATTCTTCAAAATCAGATACTGATTTCAACATGATGTCTTATAAATCATATTTCCAGGTTCTCAGGCGTGATCTTTTACAAGCATTACAGATGAGGAGATAAAGTCAGAAATCATCCACCAGAATAATTCTCCAGTGCACCCATCAGAAGCTGTAGGGGATCTCCTTGTCATTATAGTTTGAAGTTCTTCCCCACAACCAATACTCCCCTGGAGGATGGAAAACACTTAGTTGTTTTGATAAACCCTAAACATAAAAAATATAAAAATGGGCTGTTATTACATAGCCCTAAATGGTAATCTTTGGGACGTACCCTCTGATTTTGATGTTGGAAAAATGTTGCTGCACAACAATGCAAAGGTTTTATTTTAATTGTTTGTTACACTGTGGGCAGTCGGGAAAGATGGAAGGCTAACTAAAACTAAATATTAATAAAACAAAGATGTCTGATGGGACACTGTATATCAAGGGGGGAAATGTTTGCTAGAAAGAATGAACTGCTTTTTGTCGCATCATGTCACATAATTCATACCATTGTAGTAGATCTCGTTAATTTATGCTTTTTGGAAGGTGCAATATATTAGTTTTAAAAACATTCCTTAACACAAAATTGAAAAAATAAGAAGAACTACCCTTCTTTAAAAAGCCAGGCCCAGCCTGACAAGGGGACTACATGACCTTTTCTATCCTTATGTTTTATTTTGTTACTGGTTTTGATATTGGAGAAAACCAATTTACTCTAATCTAATCTACTAATCTGAGCAATTAATGATGAAGATCAGTTTATGATAATGAATACATTGCACATACAGTAAAACAATAGATTTTCATTGAGGTAAGCGAAGTCTGATGGCGAAGGGGAAATGATACAACAAAGCTGCAAACGAATGCAAGAATGATTTCTCTAAAATGTCAAGGTAGAAAAGGTTTTCCAGGAAACCTTTATTAGTCTGAAGAATATGCTCTTTTACAAGAATATTTTCCAAGTTTTCAATGAATTCTGACGGATCTCCATGCACTAAAATTTGAAAGTACATTGAAAACAAGGAAATCAATGTTAAATTGGTAGATATTCTATATTTATGAGAAACGGTGTATATCATTTTATTGCAGTGCCGATGTGAAACCTGGTGGTCCCAAATGAGTGCATGTTTTGCTGAATAATGTCAGCCCAATAATTTCAGTCCAATACTGTAAATGTTTGATTCAAAAGTACTTGACAAAATTAAACGTGGCACTTTGTCTTGATATAAGGGTATAAAGCCAAAGTAATTTTACAGGATTTAGAAAATTTAAAGTAATAAAAATATTTTGAGAAAAAAAGTAGCTTGTTTTCTTACCTGCCTGCCATTCAAACAAAACAAGTTATCATATTATATTTTCAGGAGATAGTGTACCCTTTTAATTGCAGAGATATCAAAGTTATTTCTCATCATTCCAAGAGGCTAAAGAGAGATATAGACTGTTACATCACATGCAAAATTAAATGCGGCAGCTCTATTCCAAGGAACTTCATTCAAAGGAAAAGATAATTATCTTGATATTTATGAACAGTAACCAATAAATGTGGTATTTCTCAACATAGGAGCACATTGTCTGTACATATATTAAATCATCAAGTCTAATAATTTTCATCATCTTTTTCAATCTGAAGAAGGCCAGGTATGCCAGGTGGTATGCTACTCCCAAAAAAATTAACTCCAAAAAAGCAACGACACATTTCAGTTGGTCCAAATTTGATGAATTTAATTTCAAGCCTATCTAATTTTCGGGTAGGCACTTTTTGATGGCGTAGCTCAATTTCTCAAGTTGCTTATTCTACTGTCGGACTCCTTGACTATTTAAAAGTGTAAAGAATAACATATTGAAACACCCATGTAACTACTTTTAAATATTCTCTATCAAAATCAAATCTTTTTGAGATTCAAGAAAAGGATTTTCAAGGAAAAAAGCAACAGAGAACAAGGAATGGCTTTTTTACTATGGACACTTTTCATCAGTGAACAAGCTAAGAATTAACAAAAGGAATGAGGTGCTGCTGTATCTTCCTTTAAATTATATAAATAATTTGAAGTATAGCAATATTTCAAACTGAATTGTTTTATCTTAAATATGATGTGTCATTGTGAAATTTTTGACAATTTTCTATTCATCAAACCACATTTACGAAAAAAAACTTTCAAAAGACTCTTTCTTCAAGTTTGGCAATGTCATAAATTATCACTTCATTTATGGCCTTCATATCAATGGCTTGGATTGGGCTCATAATAAGGCAATCAGATCTTTCAGCAAGCACCCCGAAGACACAAACATGTGGATGCAATCCTGAATACAATGCCAAACAAGAGAGAGCACAACTTTTTATCACCTCACAGAAGAACATTAAACTTTTCTGGTCCTGCATTTATTCATTCAGGAATTTAGAAACAGTCTGGTCTTCAAACTATAACCACCAAAGGATGGAGAACATATCTAAAGGCAATCAGATCTATATAGGGCCAACAAACAAACAAATTTATCTCTACTCTTCCTGAACATATGTATGTGTGAAGAAATGATTTGAAGAACAAATTTGGTGTGTTTTCATTTGAAAAAAGTTAACACATTAACCAGTGGAAAAAATATGTTGAATTGTGGCTATTTTCTGAAGATTTAAAAAGGTGCATATGTTAGGCAAATGCATTATTTAAAGGAAGTGTACTCAAAGAGATGATCAAATAATTTGAAATAATTTGAAAAAGGGAAGGTGCAAACACCTCAACGACATATTTTTCCAATGATTCTTAAAATTAAAGATGCAGCAGACCAGGCTATCAGGTTTTACCTCCCTTTAAGTTGAGAGGCCTCATTATCCATTGGTTGCAACGCAGAATTGCATGCGTTACGCCACGCAACGTATCGCATATATTTCATAATAATAAAAAACATATTACCACTTTGACGCATTATAGATTTTCTGAATGCAAATGAACAAATATTTGCGATTTTTTTTACTCTGCCGCAAATCAAAATGCAAATATAGTGCATCTTTAAACAATATTTTTATTAACAATTAGCTATATCGAAGGAATAGTTCAATCATATCTATATTATATCATTAAAACATACATTTTGACAAGCTTTCCAAGCAATGCAAACGCATCGCATATATCGTCTGCAAATAGCACTCCAGAAGCTGCGGGAAGAAAGCTAAATATGTTCCACTTCTTTTTAAATCGACACCACAATCGCATAGGACTAAGACTATTTCGAGATAGAATCAATCCAATAGATAGAATCAATCCAATTGATACACTTAATGACTCCGAGATGTTACAAAGGTATAGAATGCCGAGAGCATTGGTGATGGAGTTGATAAACTTTTTGAACCTGAATTTTCGCAAAGAATACGAAATGAGCATTGCATACCAGGGTATCTTAAAATGTTGATAACCATACGATTTCTTGCAACTGGGCAGCTCCAGATGTCAAATGGAGACATGTTTGGAGTGAGCCAGTCAACCATTTCAAATATGATTACAGAAGTTGTATCAATCATGGCAAGGAGGAGGTCTGTGCATGCGTCGGTTACACATGCAAGAAAGGTTTTGCTCTGTAAAAATTCTGATTTATCTCGAATTATGTGGACTAAAAGGAAACTTGGATTACAGATACTGTCATAAGCGTTAATCGGAATGTGTCGTGCCTATCTTGGATGACTTTTACTGCAATATAACAACGCAAAGGAGGGTAAATCTCATTTTGAATTTTAACATTTTGAACTGATTATTCGGATATATATGACGCCATTCTAATTATGAGAAATGTGTAATAGACTAATCTACATACACCTATTATGTGCATCTGTTCATGCCTAATTTTTTCGCACTGGCCAGTGGAATAGACTATTGTATATAACTCGCAAGCTACAAGTGCATTGTGAATGAATGTGAACTACAGCGGGAGAATTCCAAGAACTAACGGAGAGGAATAAGGGAAAATGCTTGACGGATTCTGAATCTGTGTATTTTTTAATGATTTTTCACCGTCTTAGAATTTCAATTTTTTTCCTTTGAAAAAATGAGATTTGCATTGTTTTCCAATTAGAAAAATGAGTAAACATGAATAGCTCGAAATCTAACGGTGAGATTTTGTTTTAAAAAATCACGGTTATCAAGACTAAATATAGCTATACAGTAAACATAAAAAGCAATGCTTGGACTCTTCATATTCACACAAAAAATTAATTAGTAAATGAGGTTTGAAATTTGTGAGAATAAGTTGTACGAGGTGCAATGCTCTACAAACACCAGACTACAGGGTGGATTAGGATCAATGACACACATAAAAATTAATTAAAAAATATTTCATGATAATTATCTCAAACAAAAGCAGTTAGCGAAGGATACGTTTCATTACACTCAATAATAGTTACTGTACGCCCGGTATTATTCGCGAGCTTTAATTTCGCGAATTTTGCGAAAACACGGTTTCGCTGCTATTAAATTTCGCGAATACTGTATTTTATCGTATTCGGGGATTCCCCAGTATATGATGTCCAATCAAATTGCAGGCTACGATCACGTGAACAATCGTGCGCACGTGCTCTTTCATTGCCGCGCATGCGCATAGTAAAGTCATGGAGTTGCACAGTACTATTGAAGTACTATAACTCGATCCAAACTAGTAGACAAAACGAAATGCATCAGAGCCCCGGGTAAAAAGAAATTCCCGGGGATTTAATTGGCAATTTCGCGACGATAATTTTTCGCGATTTTAACACCCTCGTGAAAAGCGCGAAAGTTAATCGCACGCGAATAATACCGGGCGTACAGTACCACTTTTGACTATATATACATATCTCATGGGAATGTATTTCCATCTGCTCAAGATATCATATTTTAGCTTCGAAAATCACAATCGTTGGATGATACATTTGTCTCAGAATGATAGGCCACCCTGTAGCAATGTAGCTTTCACTTGAAGTGTACCCTTGAGAATAATGAACTTACTTTCAAATTGGTCTTGCTTTTGTGGTGTATGTGGCTTTTTAGCAAATCTGCCACGCTCATTTCTTTCCAGAACCATCTTGTTCAAATGTATCACTATATTATACGCGCATGTATAGACAGATGACATAAATATACATATAAATTATATATTGCACCTGTATTTACTTACATGGGAATATATTCCCTTATGGAAAAATGCAAATGCATGAACATATATTTTCATCTTATATATGACTTCAAGCTAACATATTATTTCATATTTATTATATTTTCATAGTTAGTTTAACATGAATAATAGATCCATGAGAACAATATTCTTTGTTTTTTTTAAATTGATGGGTTTACTGTGAATTCAATAAATTACAATTTGCAAGGGTTAAGTATACTGTATGAGCTAGCTAGTGGCTTTTGTATTTAATGTTAGGACAGGGTAATTAAATTAGTTGTTTCTCTTCTAATTTTCAAAATTGATACGGGAATGACCTGTTTTTATATTACCTTTTTTGTCTATCTAAAATGCTGATGAGGGACTGGATGATTTTTTTCTTTAAAATAACTGTAAAAACAAATAACTAATTTTGAAGGAAATAAACTGAGTTTATGTTGAATTTATATGTTGAATTTAGCCTAATTTACTGGTATATTTGATCATATATCAGTACCACGATATTGTCAATTATCCTGATCCATAAAAAGTAAAAAAAAAAGTGTTTCACACGCCATGGATGCGCGCGAGGTACGGTGTTTTTTCTCAGAAATGGCAGAAAAAAGGTGGAGGGGGGATTGGGCCACACGCGGGCAAGAATGAGAAACAACTAATTTAATAATTACCCTAACCTTAGTTCATCGAGTAGTACGTTTTTACAGCAAAGTAGTGTTTTTATATGCAGCTTAATAGCATAAAATATGTTGAATGAAGCATATGGTGTGGATTAGTCGTGTGACACACAAACTGACCAATACATGAGGGTATTAGGTACTTTTCACATAAACCAAAGGAGGACAGTGCTTTTATTTCAACTGGGAGCTTACTTCCACACGACTGATCATGTGACCATGGTGGTGGTTCCCCTTAAGTGGTGTTTGTTGAAATGCCTCTTGATTGATTTGATTTACAATGCCACCTCCAGCGCCATCCTTATACATAAACCAAGCCCAGGAGATTGACAGTGACAAATCGTTTGTTCTGACGAAGATGAGTCTCCCATGGCAACACAAACAGAAGAATCCATATTGCAACAGATACGGGATGTTTGCGTCGGTCTACCGAAAGACGATTTTATCTCCAAAATATTGTCTATTCTGGACAACACGGAAATCTACACGAGAAGCCCTGTATGATTACGCTAGGATTAATCGACCGCATGAAATGCCCAATGGCTCCTTAATCAAATGCTCATGCCGCAATTCCAACAAGATCCTCGATGATATTCACGCACTCTTCATGTTTATTGAGGGAGCGGGAAATGTCTCAGATATGAAGAACATGTTAAACCCCACTAAAGTCAGGAAATCAACAGCAAAGGCGCTCAACTGCGACCAATTTAAAATATTCACTTAAAACTGGATAAAATAGAAAGTCTGAAACTGAACAAGTCCATCAACAGTTTAAGCCCTGAAAGAGCCCAGAGTGGACCTGAGAGGACCAATCAAACAACTTTTTCGTCGACCTGGATTCAAACTACTACTTCGTCCTTCTCCAGCTGACCAACCCTCCGTTCAACCTACGTATGCATCAGCTGCTATGGGCGGAACCTGCACAACACCTTCAACCCCTACAATAAAACATGCTCCTTCGCCGTGTGGCACTTCATCATGACAACCGGACTCAACAAACTTGGGTATAACTACCAAACCCGCAGAAGTGCCCACGCCCACTGTTTCTGAATCTAATGCGTCCCAGCGCTTGAAATCCATTCCTGGTGCTGTGCTACAGAATACAACGTACCAAAAAAAATCTCGTTCCAGCTCACAGATCGCTAATAAGCATGATCGTGCATTCCAAATACCCGCTAGAATTAGTACCAGAAATGACCATCTCTCATTAGGCAATTACCCTACAACTCAAACTCAAGCGACCCGACACTACGTCTATAGAAGTGACGGAGAACATGATTTTGAGGGTGTGCAAGTTTCAAGAAGAAAATCTAAATCTAAAAGTATTTTGTTGTCTCATGTCAAATCTGTCCCGTACTATACAACTTATACGTATACAACTTGTTACGGACATCCATTTGCAAATTTGCCAATAAAGGTGGCGTTAATGTCACCGGAATGAGGGTAATTGGCCGCAGAGACACGTCTAATGGTGAAATACTCTCAGTTAGAATAAATGTCGATGCTCTTGACTACGACACTGCCACTGAAAATGACTTTTGGACAAGAAACATAATTTGTCGACCTTGGCTTTCTGAAAACCTGTATATTTCTCGCAAAAATGACTCATCAAAATCAACACAACACCAGAATGATCACACATGGGGAGGCCCGCTATCTAAGGGCTCTAGTGATTGGGAATTGGAATACACAGGAATTTCTCATCATGCCACCAATGCACCATCCTCC